AATGAGAGAAGTACTTAATTCCCCATAAGCACCCACAGCAATAATTGCTGCAGGCAAGATCCACAGAGAGGTGCTCAAATTAATGGGTGATGACTTCCAGGAAAAGCAGGAATTTGTATAATCTCCCAAAATAGATGTTTAGTAATAACAAAGAGAAAAATAGTAACTTGATGGTGAAGAAAACTGGCAGTCATTCCCGTAACCAAGTTACTAAGATTAACAGCATCAGAAATAAGACTTGCTGACATCACATATACAGTGATTTGATTCACTGGGAAGAGCATTTCACCTGTCATCACTTTCCTAACGATGCATAATCCCAATCTGTTATAGGCGGTGGGAAGGGCACCAGGTGTAGGATTAGTGGCGTCAGACCGAACAACCTGGGGTCAGCAACCTCCGTACATGCGCTCTGGATAAGAAAAGAATTCAGATCCAAGACTCAAACTGTAAGAGAACATTTACTTGGTAAAATCACAGAGGTAGAAGTAATTTCTATAAGAAATGAGCTTAGGAAATAAATTATAGGGGTAAAGGAAGGGCCCTTGGATTTGGGGAGTGAGGAAGCAAATGGAAACATCAGAAGTTGGGATGGGGGAGACATGGGCACATTTCTGGGAGGGAGAGCCCACTGGGCCCTCTGTTCTAAGGGTTTTAAGGGTAGATATTTTAGGGGAGTTCCTGGGGAAGAGCTCAGTAGCTTTTCAGGTATGGCTCTTCAGGGTTGTAGTCTCCACTGATTGGCCAGCACCAGGGCAGGGGGTCATTATTCTATGCCGCTGGTCCTGAAGTCAGTTGTGGCTGGTTTTGTTATTTATCTGGGCCTAGAGCTGAAATACAGCTGAGGCCTAGATGTTATTTAGGGAGGAAAGGTCAGGAGATCCAAACCTCAAGACCAGTGACAGGCCAGGAGAGGGAAAGTCGCCATGGGGACAAGGTCCCACCCTACAATTGATTTTCCATTGCTAGGCACCTGAGGCTTTCCATCCTGGTGACCTTTTGTTGTTGTGTGTTTTTTGTTTTTTGTTTTTACATATTAAAGGAAGGTTTATTCCCCAGTAACCAGTGGGAACTCATTGCAGAGGTAGAGGAATCAGAATTAAAGGAGGGGGGAAGGGAGAAAGGACCCAACCGGGTTGACTCCACAGACGGAGATGGAGAGCAGCAACACGTGAAGGGATGGGGATCCTTATGAGGGGAGGAACAGGAAAGGGTTGGACCAGGGTGAAACAGAAAGGGGTGGGCTCCAGGGCACTTGTGACCTTTTGTACCTGGCCCATCATACTGGCTCTGTTTTTGTCTGTCTGCCTTCAACAAATCTAATTATGAGAAAACACTGAGTAGAACTTGTATTGCTCATTGGGACCCAGATTGTTCCAGTGTTCTGGGTTGTTCTTTCTGTCCCAACAGACATCTGGATTGAACAATGCCAGCCGTGTCACATACAGCGCTGCTCCAGTACCCCCATCTCCAATAAATACGAAGAGGGGCATCAAGCTGGGGTGCTTCTTGGCTTGGTTGAGGATCTGATGAAGCATGGTTGTGGCAGGGGCACAGAAGCAGGGAAAAACAAAAACACAGTGCCTCGAAATTTAGCTCTTTTAATATTAAGACTTGGTTTACCTAAACAGTCAAAGACCTGATGACATAGGATAGGAAATAATTTTAAGCAAATACAGAATCTTTGTTTTCCCTCTAGAATTCCTTAAGGGCATACCAATAGTACAGAAAAGCTTTGCCCTTTTAACAGACAAGAACCTAACTTTAATTTTGCATCAGCTAACTTTTGATATTTAATTTACTTAATTAAATTATTTTTAATGATATTTAGTTTGACCACACAAAATTTCTTTCTCAAGATTCCTTTCCCACAAACTTCTACAATATTGCTTGTCCCTTTTAGTTTGTCTTTTTATTCATTCAGAAATAACCACCTTGTTTTATGAGAAACTATTTTCTTTTAATTCTCTCAAAAATACATTTTCATACCTTACACCTTTTTGTTTCGTTTTGTTAATTTTCAGCCAAGAATATTTTTCCATTGATTTTTAGAGAGAGTGAAAGGGAGAGGGAGAGATAGAGAAACTCTCGTGTGAGAGAGACATTTGAATTGGGCATTAACTAGAATTCTTAACTCTTAGAAACCTAAATTTCTAATGACAACTAACAAGTAAGCAATTACCATTCCTTAGAGTAACACATTTATGAATACTTCCTAACTTCTAGGAACATAGGTGCTTTTGTTAATATTTTTACTGGGAAATTTATTTAATAATTTTTAGAAATATATGCTTCCCCAACTGTTGCAGAAGACCAAAGAAAACCAAGGATGCTTCAAAGAAGAGAAGGAACACTGTTTAATACACCGGCGGACTCAGAGAACAACCTTCCAAATCTGAGTGAAGGAACATGCATGGGGCTTTCCTTTATATTTCTCCCTGGACTTGGTCCCTCAAATATGGATTATGCTTCTGGTCCTTTATGCTGGCCTTGCAAGAAGGCCCCCAGATGTTGGGGTCTCCAGGCCATATATGATGGTCTAGTCTGGCACCAGCATTAATAACCCTCCCTTAGGGGCAGTGCACTGTTCACAGTAACAGGTTCTGCAAGACCAGTATATGGGAAGGAGAGAGGGACTTAATTATAGGTTATCAAGAATGTACACTGAGCTTGCTGGTATGGATTCAGATCCCTCGCCTCCAAATATCAGGGTTAAATTGGAATTAGCCCCTTTTAGCCTTCTCATTCAAAGCTCAAAACTGTTGTGGAGTGAATGCGAGTAAACAACCACTGGAGTCCAGACCAAATTAAAATTTAGGGAGCCTTTAGTAACGGGCCAGCTAACTACTCTCTCTCCACGCAGTTAGTCCAGAGAGCAGCCCTGACCCTTTGTGTCCGACCGTATTTAAACCCATTCATTACATCCTGTTTTTGCAGAGCAATTTAAATCAAAGCAGTTTTTCTTAAGTAACGTCTGCATGTACTTAGTTTACAGGATCCCGACACCTGGTGGAGTAAGTAACTGCATCCTGTTATCAGGAAAGTTGACAGTGATCTATCTTGTAAGCTTTACTGGCATCCTGTTCTCAAGAAAACTGATAGTAATTTATCCTGTAAGGCTATTTTGTTAGTTGCAGCTGGAATTTATGGACAAGTCCACTAGAAGGAAGCATGCTCAAAAATTCCCACTCTCTAACCAAAACATATGGTGGGTGTGGCTCAGAGGTTGAACATCGACTTATGAATCAGAAGGTCATAGGTTCGAATCCAAGTCAGGGCACATGCCTAATTTGGGGCTCAATCCCAGTGGGGATCGGTTGTGCAGGAAGCAACCAATCAATGGTTCTTTGTCATCACTGTTGTTTCTCTCTCTCCTTCTCTGAAATCAATAAAAATATATTTTAAAAAAACCATATTCATTAATAGATCCAAATTTATTTTTTAGTTTCTCTGCAATAAGAAGTCAAAATTAGATAAACAGTCTTATTTAACAATTAATGTCTCAGTATTGTGGATGAAAAGGGGTCTCATGCTAACCTGACAAGCTGAGGGAAGGCCTGCGTGGCAGCCTTGCAAATTCAGAGACCTAAAGTAACCACAAAGGGTGGTCTGAAATTAAAATTTTTTAAATTAAAAAGCAGTCTGTGGGGGGTAGTCATGCCCTAGGCGGGCATCTTCCCAGACAAGGATCAGCTTTGACCTTACCTGAGTCTATTGCTTTGCATCTATGATAAACATACCTTGGGAATGTCAGGATAACTTCCCTTTTTCCAGACCCCTGAAGGAACCACCTTTGCATCATGGCAAAGACCACAAATTCCCACATTGTAATTGTTATCCTGTTAATTGTGGACTGCTAACTATCCCCTGCTCACCCTTGTAAAAGAAGCTTGTGTCTAACATAATACTTTTTATACAATCCTAGAGGTTCCCTCCCCACTTTGCTTTCACCAACCTCCCTAATCTATCACCAACGAATTTCAGGTAACCCACTTACAGTGTCCTCTTTGATTACATGTATAAAACAAGGTGAAAAACTCCCATCCTCCAGAGCATTATCTCAATCTGTTGAGATTCTGCTACTGGCAATTGTTGCCAGTTTGGCCCAAATAAACTCACAAAAATTCCTTACAGGTTTGACTGTTTCTTACATTAACCATATTTTATCTTATTTGTATATATTCAATTATCTATATATTCAACAGATTTAACTTGACTCACTACTTAACATGGCAAAACTCTTAAGACTTTAAGTTACCAAAATTTTTTGAGAAACTATTTTTTTTGAGTTTTTTAAAAATTATATTTTGTTTTGGGGGAGCTATATTTAAGTACACATATCACATAATTATTGCTAATAAGTTTTATCTAAAAAAAACCCCCCACTCTTATTCTATTTACATCTATGTAATTTACTTGTTTTCAATAATTATATTTAGGTTATTTATGAACATTTTATCACATCAAGTTATTTTTCTTTCTTTCTTTTTTTTTTTTTAAAAAAAAATATATTTTATTGATTTTTCACAGAGAGGAAGGAAGAGGGATAGAGAGCTAGAAACATCGATGAGAGAGAAACATCGACCAGCTGCCTCTTGCACACCCCCTACTGGGGATGTGCCCGCAACCAATGTACATGCCCTTGACCGGAATCGAACCTGGGACCTTTCAGTCCGCAGACCGACGCTCTACCACTGAGCCAAACCGGCTTTGGCAAGTTATTTTTCTTGTTCACAAATTTTGCAACAGAGATTAACATGAGCTTCTTTGACTAAAAAATCCAGGTAGAATAATAGTGTTATACTTAATGCTTATAATTCTAAATCCACACCTATTTAATCAACCAATACTCAAACCAGCTTTAATATAAACTATTCTCTTAGCCGAAATCATCCTAAAAGCATTTGGATTAGCTCCTATTATTTGAGAATTTTTTAATATAATCACTTAAATCCTTTAAGCCAATCACCACCACCCTTTGAGCCATCTTCGCTGACATCATGCTCCAGTTCCTGGATGGATTTATTTTTGGCAACCTGGTTGCAATGTATCTGGCTCAAAATTATGACATGCCAAACCTGGCTAAAAAACTTGAAGAAATTAAAAAGGACATGGATGCAAAGAAGAAACCCCCTAGTTCACGAGGCCATCTCCAGCACTGGCTCCAGGAAATCCTGACTCTGCTCTTCTCCATGGCCTCCTTTACACCTGAACCAAAGCTTCTGTCTTCTGTCCAATCTCAGCCTTTGCTTTGAGTACAAATGGGGCCACAAGTTAAGAACTGTGCTTACTTTCCAAACATCCTCACCTCTTCCCTTCCTCCTAGCAGCTTGGGAGGTCCTAAGACTGGAATTATGGTGCTAGATTATTAAACATGACCTTTAATTAGTAGTCTCTTCCTTATTCTTTGAGATTTTCTTACTGCCTTTTTCAAAAGAAAAATTAATGAGTTTTGTATAGCTGATCAGATATAAATAATGCTGACTTCACAAGTTAGCAGTAATAATGGGTGTTTAAACATTTGGTACTAAATTCTGTTATTTCAAGGTCACTAAAATTAAAATCTAGAAGCCAGTTTCTTATGAATTATCCATTTATTTTATACTCTTCTCAGTATAACTAACATATATAACTCCATAGTTGCTAATTTAACCAGTAAATCAATTTGCTGTTCGTCAACTGAGAAACTATGTTCTGAGAACTCCATCAGGAATTGGGGAATTAAAAAATAATGCCTTTGTTCTCAGTAGTTTAGTACGCATGTTTTTCCTTAATGATACATTTGATCTGGCTCTTTTTCCTCAAAAGAATCATTTTAAAGAATTATAGGTGCATTTGACATTACATGATGGATAAATGACAAGTTGTCTATAAAGGAAATTTTATGCCTTTTCACATTAAAAGAAATGTATCAACATTATAACTTTATAGTGATTCTCACAAGAAAACTTCTTTTGCTGCGATCAGAAATTATCATTGTAATTTGTCAAATGTATAATTAGTTCATTTGAAAAAATTAAACAAAAATGTTTGATTACAAATTAAATAAATAAATCCTTTATGCCAATTAAACAGAGCTCTTTACAAATCAATTCTAATAATATCATCTGCAGGTAGACATACATTCACATAGAAAGACAGGTACAACCAGAGAGTTTTGTGGGTTTTTAAAATTTATTATTTAACTAAATCATTATTGTTGCCTTTTCCCTCAATTAACCCCCTCTACCCCTTCCCCTCCCACCCCAGGCTGTCAACACATACAGGGGGGTTTATTTCTGGGCTCTCTAATCTGTTCAATTGTTGTTGTTTTTGTCCATGTTTATATGGGTACCACACTGTTTTGATTATTGTAGCTTTGTAATATATTGAACTCTGGTACCGGTACATCATTTTTAAAAATTTTTTTTAACTTTTTGAGTCACTTTGTTTTAATTTTCATATACAGCATAGAGTTGGGTTTTGCTTTATAAGCCAATTTGAAGATCTTTTCTTTAAATAAATGAATCAAGCCCATCAACATTTATATTTCTGATGTCTGGTTTTAATGATCACATTGTTTTGTTAGATTTACCATTTGTGTTTATTATATTTACTATACTTCTTTATGCTATTCCTTTGGCGTTATTTTCTTGGGTATAAAATGATTTGAATTTTTTCTGGAGATAACTTTATAATACTGTTTTTGAAAGTCACTACAGGCACCTTTGTCCTGTCAATATTCTACAATTTGTTTTATTTAAATATCTTTGACTTTTATTAAATGACAATCAATAGCTTATTCTATTTTCTGCCTCTTTTGTCTTATTAAAAAATGCACTGTTTCTACTTTGTCAAAATACATAATTTCTACATAATGTTCTTCCACCCTTGTCTCTACTTTGTCTTAATCTTGGATCTGCAGTTACAATATATTTTAGGCCCTGAGCTATAGTTTTTCCAGCGAGGGCGAGGGTGAGGGTGAGAGCAGTGGCCTTCCCCCATGCATCGCAAATAGGGATCTGACGTACCCTGCAACCTAGGTATGTGCCCTGACCAGGAATCCAACTGGCAACCTGGCAACCTTTTAGTGAACTGGATGACGCTAGACAATTGAGCCACTCTGGCCAGGCACAGCCTCACTTTAAGTGACCCTTTTTGCCTAGAGCTGTGGTCGGCAAATTGCGGCTCTCGAACCACATGTGGCTCTTTGGCCCCTTGAGTATAGCTCTTCCACAAAATATGACGTGTGGACGCACATGTACAGAGTGATTGAAACTTTGTGACCCAGGTGCAGAAGTCGGTTTTTGGCCTGGGCAAGTCTATTTTGAAGAAGTGGTTCTAATGCCAAGCCACACTCAATGGGACAAAGAGCCGCATGAGGCTCGTGAGCGGCAGTTTGCTGACCACTGGCCTACAGGATCCTTTGGGACTTTTTTTCTTCATATTTAAAGCCCAAGATATGTCTTGAAATTGACTAATCTGTATCCAACTCCACTCAGACATTTTATTTCTGCAAATTTTTCTCGGATTATATGTTTAACTGTTAGCTATTTCATATTTTGCTTTTCTTCTTCAGGGATTCCAATTATTCATATATTAAGGGCCCAGTGCATGAATTTGTGAACCTTGAAAGGAATTATGGGTGATGAGGCTGCGGTGGGCACAGAAGCAGGTCTTAGCCCATCCTCCATGCTCTAGCCGGGCCCCTGGTTCCATCTGCCGGCAGTTCCGCTCCCACACACTAATAGCAGTGGTCCCACTTGCACCTGCTGACAGCTGGGGAAGGTGGAGAAGTCCTCAGGGGCCATCGGGGCCGGGTTGACAGCCACTTGTACCTGTTGATGGCGGAGAGTGATCAGAACTGGCACTGGGTGAGGGCAGTGGCTTGGCACTGGCTGCTGGGGCAAGCGAGGCTGGTTCCAGCAGCAGGTGTGAGGGGCAACTGCCAGCTTCATCACCCCTCAGAAACAGAGGGAAGTGGAGAAGCCCTGAGGGGCGATCAGGGTCGGCACCAGCAGCAGGTGTGAGTGGGGCTGGAGCTGGCAGCAAGTGTGAGCACCGGCTGGGACTGCGGTGTGTGGGAGCAAAGAATTTTCAGTAACCACCAGGCTCTCCCCGATGACAGTGACTGATGCCCCTGCTCATCTGCTTCCCCATCCCGCCACAGCCAATGCCTGTCCTGTTCTGCATTCTACCACCTTCTGCTGATGCCTTGCCATGTTTCTCTCCCATCTGCTGGTGGACAGCACACATCATAGCAACTGGTTGTTCCACTGTTTGCCCTATTTGCATACTAGGATTTTATATAGAGAAATTGGCTATTTGAGTGTCCTCTGTGTTGACCACTTTCTCTCTCACCTTTGTGCTTATTATTTTCACTGTTGGCCTTTCAAGTTCTTGTTTAATAATTTTTCAGTTGAATCTAGCTTTCCTTGAGTACTTTAGAATTCATCTTTAAAATGACTTTGCTTTTTCTGTACTCTTCAAATTCTTTTCTGAGTTCATTTCCCAAGTACCTTCCTATTTTGTTTTGAGCCTGTTTCTGTTCTGAGTTTTGTAATTTCTCATTTGAGGTGTTTTTTCATATCATGTCTGGAAGTTGTGTTTTTTGTCTTTAATCCTTACCTGAGGATATTTTTCCATTGATTTTTTTTTTTTTTTTTTTTTAGAGGGATTGGAGAAGAGAAATATTTATGTGGAGAAACATATCAGTCGGTTGTCTTCTGCGCACCCTGACCAGGGCTTGGGCCAGGGAAGAACCTGCAACCGAGGTACCTGCCTTTGCCTGGATTCGAACCCGGATCCTTTGGTCCAAGGCAGGCTGTAATTTTATTAAAAAGCAAATATTTATTTTGGAATGTGTTACAGTTTGCCTTTTTTTTTTTTTTTTAGTTTCATTTACTTATTAGGGGATAATTTTTATCAGCTGAAATTTCTCGTCTTAATTTTATAGTTTTGTATAAGGCCACCTGTTGTTTTCTATTCACTTTGTGCTTTTAAAAAATGTTTGAAATAATTTCAAATTTATAAAAAGGTTTTCTTTCTATAAACTTCATAAGTTCTTTAAAGAATACAGACCAGGTATTTTATAAAATGTCCTTCAATTTAAGTTTGACTGATATGTCTTCATAATTAGATTCAGACTGTGCTTTTTATTATTTTGTCTTTGCAAAAATGCCACAAAAGTGATGCTGTGTTCTCAGTGAATCACATCAGAAGGCACAAGATATTGATTTGTCCCATTATCAGTGGTGCTAATTGTGCTTGGACAAGGTGGTATCTACAAGGTTCCTTCATTGTAAAGTTATTCTTTCCCCTTTGTAATTAATAAGTATTTTATGGACATATACTTTGAGACTAGATGCTTTTCCTCATAAGCTTTATCAAACTAGTTTTAACATCCACTGATGGTGACTGCCTAGGTCAATTATTACTGTGATGATTGCCAATTAGTGACTTTATAATTTCGTCATTTTACATTTTATAGTTGACAAAATACCCTGAGTAGCTTTCCTTTTCCCTCCATTATTTTTTTATAAAAATACATACCAAGCAAACAGTATGTAAATACATATTCCTAATACCTGTGAAGTTTTTAGGTGGAAGAGTCATCAAGTCTGCAGCTTGCCCTCTAATGTTTCAGCAAAATAACACACAAACACACACATATACCCATATACACATTAACTCAAAGGTGACAAAATGTTAACAGTTATTAAAATTAGATGAATAGTATATGGGAGACCACTGTACTGCTTTGCAATTTTTTTGGTGGGTCTGAATTTTATTAAATAGCAATTTAATTGAAAACTACCACAGCCGTCACAAATATCTGAAAAAAATTAAAGTAGTCTATAGACTTAATTTACCAGTTTTTGATTGTATTCAAATTTTATTCCCAAGTCTACAGAAATTTAAACAGTAGCTTCTGTGCAACAATCCTCTGGGGCAGAACACCACACACAGATCTTACACACTAAGATAACAGTACCATGTTCGACAAGACTTTCTGGGTTGAGTAAACCACGCTTGACAAACCAGCCAACTCAAGATAAATGATTCCAGTTGTTGGACATAGCGAACTTATCACTTAGGGAACATTACAAATAATATTAAAGTGTTACACAGACTTATGAAAGTTCAGTATTTTTCCCAATGACTATACAGACAGGTTCATAATACAGAAACCTGCACATTATAGCATTCTGAGGTTTAGCAAAGCATACGTTATAGACACATTTGCCATACAGTGCAATTCTATTGCATGAGACATGAATATAGTGCAGTTAATTCCAAGAGTCACATTCAAATATATTAAGAGTACATTCAAATACCCGCTATTCAAGAAATACATGTTCTTTTTAAATCACTAAGTTGTGCAAATACATTTTTAGTGTAGGTGGAGACAGAGCTATAAGGATTCTAAACAACAGAACGTCGAGTTTGTGAAGAATCATCCTCCTCTCTGAAGATATGTCCATTGTGAAAGCGAAACAAATATTTTGGGCAGAGAGACAGACACAGGCAGTGCTGTACAACTTGTTTTTATTACAAACCATAAATGTAGTTAATCTGTATGCTCACAGATGATCAACCAGGATGACTAAAGACAGTAAGCTCTCATCAGGAATTATTTTTCAGGACAAAGTAGTGTCTACAGTGAGCCCCACAATGTTTCACTGAGTTAAGCACAAGCTAGAGTTCCACAGTGTCATTTAAAAATAAGACCTTGGGTTTTGTAGAGGGAATTTAGATAAGAAGTCTAGATCATAGAGTTTCAGAGGGTCTCTTCTGGGTTGTTGGTTTAAAGGAAGAAGATGCTGTGGACACTCTATTATAAAGACCAAGAGAAGATAAAAGCAGTTTTATTCAGTAAGACAAAATTTAGAAAACTGATATTGTCAGAAAATTAGCATTTTATATCATCTGAGAATAAATAATAATGGTGAAATCAGTCTTTTAATTTTTTTTGTTACGATGGTGAATTAACATAAAAACACTATTTTGGTAACAACTTAGGATATCAGCTCTGGGAGGGAGGGAAGACCTGACATGCTAAGGAATAATAAAGAACTCATTTATATTGCATTGAGGTATAACATAAACCCAGATCAGATATACTGAACAACTTCATTCTTGCAAATCTCATAGCTGCCAGAACAGAGGATCAACTATTAAAAAACTGTTCATTTTGGTCCAAGAAATAACTTTCTGATAAAGAGTGCTCATAATACCCTCATTCACTTTTCATTCATTAAATCTGGATATGGATAAATTACCAAAACTTTTGTCTCAGGTTAAGATCTTACAATAAGTGAACCTGATAACCTAGCTAATACTGACAATTAAAATAGCTAATCCTGAAACTAGATTAACTATAATACAAGACATATCTTTAAGCAGATTTTTAAAATATAGCAAAATGTCCCTAGTTTTTACTTTGGGAGGCAATCACTGGTCAAATCTTTTCCATGATAATGATTTTTAATTTCATATAAATACTAACTGAATCAAAGGCTATATCTCACCAAATTTCATCCTTGAAAATGAAAAGCAATGACACATCATCTCTTAAATCAGCTTTCAGAGTTCAAAGAAAAGTTTTTTTAAATTTCCCAATGGGATCTAAAATTAGTTTACTGTCTTCCAAAATTTTCCTAAAAATCACTTTAAAATCTTGCTTCAAAGGCTTAACTGTTTCTTAGAAATTAAACACATTTATAATTTGTTTACACCTCTTAGATTTTAATTTCTGCTTGTTTTCTTACCATTAAATAAAATAAAAATGAAATATTCTGACCAAACAATTAATTGCCAAAAAATCTAACCAAGGAAAGTTTCAACATTTTTATATTATCAACCATGTTTTTCTGATTAAAAAAAAATCATTAATTTAAACATAAAGACCTTTGTATGCTGATAGGAATGATAGCAATCCTTTGTATTTTTGAGATCTTTGTGGGGAGTACTTTTTGCATCCCAAAATCTAAACCAGCAAGTGAATACGGAAGATGCCTAATATATAAGAATTCACTTATCTCATATCTCATTTGAATTTTATTGACTAGTATGGGCCAATTTGCTTGCTCACTATTTCTGCCATCATTCTTGTCATTAAAGATTTTAAAACCACATTTATCAAAGACAATTGTCCAAACTTAATGTTTAACAAGTATTTTCTCAAGAGTATATCCATTATATGGTATTGTTCTTATCCAACGGATGGGTAACTTAATAGTATTACTAACAATGCTCTTTGCTATATTTTTAATGTACTTGTTTTTGACAGAATTCTTGAGTTTGGGAAAACTTTAATATTCACATAATTAGATGACTACTTTGAAAGTGCACTCTTTTATACCAAAGTTTGTTTTTACAAGCTATAATCAGAACTGTGATTTGGACAACTTATATATTTAAAAGCCTAAGTGACCATTCAAATGTTCGACTGTCTGACCGATAGCTATGACCACAATGACCACCAGGGGACAGACGCTCAACACAGAAGCTGCTGAGCTGCGGTGACTTGGCAGCTGTGGTTCTTGGGTGACACACCTGAAACCAGAGAGGAGAGAGCCCAATTCTGGGGCGTGTCACCTGAGAACCATCCTCTCGCAATCTAGGATCCTTTGGAGAATGTTGGAGAGCCAGTTTTGGCCTGATCCCCATAGTGCAGCCAAGGGACCCCACCTGTGCACTAATCCGTGCACTGGGCCTCTAGTCTCTAATTATAAATTAATACTAAAATGCAAACTTTTCCAAACAGCTTAAGAGTGCTATTTCAATAAAAGAAATAGAAACACTATGCTATTGTACTCTTGCTCACACATAAAATGTGCATCAGGAAGGTGGGTATACATTAATGGCATATAATTTCTCCATGACCAAACCTAATAAAAACTTCATCTAAAAGTTAAAACCCATAGAAGCCCTATGGTCAATCAATATCACTAGTGGGGGGCCACTTTTAAAAAATTACTAAAAAAAAAAAAAAAAAAAAAGAAATGTTGAGGTTTCCCATTAACTGAGAAGAAAGGGGCACCTTCTTCCTATTTAGTCTTGAGACAAAATTAGGAGAAAACAAAAAAGTCAGCTGCCTGAATAAAGCAGCAAGCAATTTTGAGGTACCATAAAAAAGCTAGGGTGTTTTCCTCTTTTAAAAAATATAGACATTTCACACAACACATAGGTACATGTAACAGGATAGCACACTTCTTTTGTTCCTTGCCTTAGCTTTTTGGTGAGGGCTTTAATGCTCAAGATTCACAACTATAGACAAGAAAATAACTTGAGAACAAAACAGAGCTGATAGGAGAAGGCAGGCACATTTACCAAAAGAGAGTTCTGACTATGAATTGTTGTCCAGCCTTTTGCTGCAAGCCTGAGGAGACAGAAAAAAATACAAAACTTGGGCAACTGGAGATACAAAGAATTTGCCACTTTCTAAAGCTTCTGATTGTGGCCAGAGATTCTGATAGAGTCAATTTTTAAAAACTGTATTTTTAGCTCATACATAGCTCTGGAGCAGGGTTCAGGTTTGGTATGTTTTACACTAAAATGGTTATTATAGATGGGGTAGAAATAATATTAATGATATTTTTCAACAATCTTTTTAAAAAATAATTGGAATTGACAATATTTGTTAAAATGAGCAATTCCACAAAACAGAAATGTACTGAATTGCAAACTTTTAGTTTCAGGCATGAATTAGCACAGGATAAATAGTCATCACTTTTCCTATAACATTGAAATGTTTCAATCTGAAGTTTAAAACATAGCTGCATCATTGATGTTCATAAACTTTCACCTCCACTTAAATTACATTTGCCTAACACATAACGGACAAATCAGCAGAGCCCAGATACATTTTCAAAAGGCTCAAACCACCATGAAAGTTGTAATTTTAGTATTCGTAAACACTTAGAATACTTAAAAATAAAACAAAACACAATAAAACATACACATATATACATAAACCAGTGCAATGAGAATGTCAGACAAGGGCAGTGTAACTCTGGTTTAAAGAAACCATATTTGTAGCTTAATTATAGCAAATTAACATCTATTATAAAATGATGGTTGAATGTTACATCCAGCATCTGATACATATTTAATACATATGATAAAAACCTGAAAAACCAATTCAACAGTAACAATACCATATCAGTAACAAATTCCTACTTTATTTCTATATTGCACACACTTTCACTGTCCACTGTTAAATTTATGTCTGAAGGTAAGTAGCAGAGGACTATCCCTGTTGCCCTTGTAAAAATAATTTACCTTGAATAAATATCCAGAATTTCCTCTCCTGACAAACCAGAGTGAGACTGAATTCATCTTTGTTAGTCCAATACTATTTTAAAGAAAATGGCAAAGGAATTGGAAATGGCAGGTTAAACACAACATTCTTGGTTTATCCACCATTTCAGTTTTGAAAAATATTTATATTTTCAAAGAGTTTAAGTGTTTGATCTTTTTTTTTTTTTTTTTTTTAAACTAACATATCCCCTAAAGAGATTAGTCATAACCTTGACTGATCTGAAGCATTATTTGGAAAGTGGAACAGAAAGCTTATGATGAAATAGTGCATAACACTAATGGTATTACATAGGTCACCTGGTTCACATAAAATAACTAGCACCTCCTTCCTGCTCCCAAAGTAAAGAGGCTTAAGAGGCTACATAAAACATGTGTAATTATAGTAAACTGCATTCATAAAGTATTGAGAAATCCATTAGATTAGAGGGTTCTCACATCTAAAGCCTAAGTTCAAGGCTACTATGTAAAAGTGAGCTGAAGATCAAAAGGAGAGGTGGGACACAGGTGTAGGAAGTTTCTTACAGAGGTGTGGGTATATCTTTCAGGGATTCTCCTGCATCCCATCCTTAGTCTCCAGTTCTGCCAACTGCCTCCTAAGGAGATTTACTTTTGCTTGTAATTCCTTATTATATTCAATGATGTTAACCATTTCTTCATATGCTTCATCCAAATACTTGGAGGATCTGTTCCAACGCAGGAAAATACCTATTGAGTCCAGGAAAGGAAAACAGAAGGGAGAAAGATACATAAATGATTAACACTAACGATGTGGATAATATATAATTCCATATATTAGTTTTTTCACAGTTCACATCTATGTTTTATTATATTCTAAAATACACAGGAATCTCAAGCTACTGAAAGAACACAACTGAACAGACTATTCAAGAAATCACTATTTCTTTTTTTTAAAAAAATGTATTTTATTGATTTTGTACAGAGAGGAAGGGAGAGAGATAGAGAGTTAGAAACATCGATGAGAGAGAGTCATCGATCAGCTGCCCCCTACTGGGGATATGCCCGCAACTAAGGGACATGCCCTTGACCGGAATTGAACCCAAGACCTTTCAGTCCCCAAGCCGACGCTCTATCCACTGAGCCAAACTGGTCCCGGCAAGAAATCACTATTTCTATGTACACGCTCAATCCTCCCACACACATAAACTTATGAAATAGATCAAAGTTCTCTAATATATTCAGGAAAACAAGCTGATAATTTACAATGGCATAAACTTTACAGTTTCATAACAGAAATCGCTCCCCTCACAATTACAGAATTTTATTTAGACCTGTGAGACCTTCTACATGTGTGAAATCACTTTTGCTGGAAATGTAAGTTACAGTAAAAGCAGAACCACAGAAACTTATTTAAAAGCCTAAACTTCATAAATATCTCTCTCCCTCCCTAAATAGGCAGTCTTTCTATTATGCAAGTAATTGCTTCTTTCCCCAAATAAAAATTATCGTTTTATTGTGGCCTAAAAGGAGACATTTTCTCTCCTCTGCATAGACCCATGTTAACTATATAATCACAAATTAATGGCTTATAGATATCTAAGTAAGAAGGAACAAAAACTTTCAAAGGTGGCAACATGTCAGTGGCTGGCAGGTTTACAAATGTTTTATCATTCATTAAAATACACTCCATAAACCAAACTTCAAACTGCCATGGGCCCTAAAGTGTCTTTAAAAAAAAAAAGTTTTTATTTATTTCAGGAAGGGAGAGGGAAAGAGGGATACAAGCATCAATGATGAGAGAGAATCATTGATTGACTGCCTCCTGCATGCCCCCTACTGGGGATCAAGCCCACAACCCGGGCATGTGCCCTGATCAGAGACTGAACTGTGATCTGGTTCATGGGTTGATGTCCAACCACTGAGCCATACTGGCTAGGCAAAAGTCTTTCTATATATGTCCAAATGTTTCTCTATATCAGAAAGGTAGAAACTAGGCTTAAAGATTGACTGACCTGTGTTGACTTTTCCATATATATAAGCCTATTTTTAAAATCCTGTTCTTCAATACAGGAATTACTTAATGGTTAACTATAATGTAAATATAAACAGCAGAGAGAGATTTTAAGGCCGAAGAGCAGTCTTATTATACACTCCATATACCTACCATGAGAAGATTTTATGTAATACAGAATTTCTTCCAGTTCTAAGCTGAGGAGACACTAAACACAAATGGAAACTCTGTTCTTAATATCCTCCTATCACTTAATTCCTAAATTCTCAATAAGATTTGATAAAAACTAGTTTAGGTCATCCAACTCCCAAATTTGGCTTTTCTCCCAAGTAAGCTAGTCTCTCATTTCAGTTATTAAGCATGACAGTGGCTTTAGGTAAATTGTCCCAGAAGTCTTAAACAAGAAGTAGAGCTGAAATCTTCCATTTGAGAGGTCACTTATCCTGTACCTGTGACCACCTACAGCAGTCAAGAGAGTAAGCAAAGAGAAGTTCTGAGCAGCCTCAAATCCCCTAACGCTCAGGCTTAGAGAACCCCGAGACATTCTGAGGCCATTTCCCCACAATTTTGTTGACACCTTGACAGATAAGATTAGAAGCACAGGCTGAGAAAGAAGAAGGCAGCTATTAACAGATGTGCTAAGAACAACCAAGATGTGAAAGCGGACTTTCAGAGAAGTGACAGAAACAGACTTGATCTCCAGCCGAGAGAGTCTGGAGCAATCTGAGATCCTGTCCACACATGAATTGTCCTTGAGAGCATATCAGAACATGGTAGAATAATTGACATTTATGGAAATTCAGTTCAAATTTACCAAACAGTTGCCATGCTTGTGTATATGCCTGATGCTGTTTTATTTCAAAGATGAATAAAGATATACCTTTAAAAAATGATTAAAAATAAGTTAAATGGTATATTTCAGTCTTTCTTTAACGAATGGCTAATATATTTTAGATAAATTTTGGCTATTTTTTTTTTTTTAACAGGCTTTGGTATTTAAGAAGATAAGGAGTCTGAAAAATGAATGCAGGTGAAACAGCTCCTTTAGAATAGATTTGAAAATTAAGCATGGATTATTGTTCCACATGAGCAATACATTGATGGATGGCTTCTGTATACAGTATAAACCCTAACTAGAATGGCTAGCTCATTCCCCCTTCAGTAATATTTAATGGAAGAGCCTACCTTAATGACTGCTCAATAAAGGAAATAGAAATCATCTCCTAGGAGCTTACAATTTATTCCTGTCCCAACTATCTACCAACTTTTCTTATACAAAAAGTAACGTACTTTCCCTCATTTCTATTAGGATGGATTTTACCGGGGGGAGGGGGTGATGGTGTGGGGTGTGGAACCCAACAAGAAAGTAACAACTCTTGGCAAAGATGTGAAAAAATGGAAACCCTTGTGCACTGTTGGAGGGATTTTAAAAAGGTGCAACCGTTATGAAATACAGGATGAAGGTTCTTAAAAAAATATTGAGAAAAAAATACACACAGGTCTGAGAGTGAGGCCCACCTTACCATCTTCAAATATCAACAGCATGTCCTCACAGGCAGCTAAAAGCTAATCCTTGACTACTGATAAAAAGTTTGCAAAGGATGCACGGCTTACCCTCCCAGAGCTGAAGACTCTGTGGAGCCACCGAAGGCCAGATGACAAGGTTGTTGGCCTCAAAGAGAGGATTGGTGAATTTACTCAGTTCACTGGGCTGATTGACCCAAGACCACAGAGACATCGTTTTCTGCTGTAGTTTCAACTTACATCTGATCAAGAAAAAAAAAAAAAAATTGCCATTAAAGCAGTTAATTTATAACAACTATCAAATGCTCCTCCTAATAGGAAAATTTCTATATGTTAGAAGGTGGAATGCAAGATTTTTAGTAGTGGAATAAAATGCTATAAAATAAAAATATTTTTCAGAAAATTCAGCACTGTAATTCTCAATAACAATAAAACCAGAAGAAGGAAAATTAGAATCTGGTCATGTCATACACAACATTGTTTCTGGGATTGTATTTTAACTCAAAACATCTAAATGGATTAAATATGTATCTTGATACAAATATAGATCTGATCTCTTCATTTACAATGAGCAGTCTTCACAATATTCCTGAAATTCTGTAATGCTCTATATTGTAGAATAAATTATTAAGGATGAAAAACAAATGGGCACATTTTAACAATTATGCTAGTAATAAAAAACAATTCACATAATCACAGGCCTCATGTACCGTGTTTCTCTGAAAATAAGACATCCTCCGAAAATAAGACCTAGCGCATGGGAAGATAAGACATCCCCTGAAAATAAGACCTAGCCCAACTTTGGGAGAAAAAAATATAAGACACTGTCTTATTTTCGGGGAAACAGGGTAGTACTAGTATTTAATTGCTAGGACATGTTCCCAGGAACCAGGCATGATGAGGATAAGAAACCATTGCACCACTGCTCCCACCAGTCCCCTGCCACCAAACCCATGACTAGCCAATCACTGAACTTTTTCAGGCCAAGCCCACACCACACAGCTTAAGAATCCTCCTCTATGAAATGGGAATCAGAATGTGAGATAAAATTTATTTATGACCCCTATATTAAATGTAGATCCGAGAGATATTAATAGGTATAAAACCAAGGAAGAATCCATATAGTCAAACATATTATTTAAATGCTGACTGAAAGTTATATCCATTGCTTTAACAGAGAAAGGCTACAGCAGAAGTAGGAAGACCTGTGCTCTAGCCTGACTTATGCTGACCAGCTGGCCAGTCCCTGGACAAGTCATTTAACTAATCTGCACATTACCCTCTTATATCTATAAAACTGGATTGAGGGTGCAGTTATATGGCTTCTTGCTGATATAAAATACTATAATTCTATGTAAAGAAATTATAATTTAAAATAGTTACCCAATTTATTCAAACCTTTTAATCAGTCTATGGACTGATTTTAATCTAATGAAACAAAGTCGTAGGATAGGCTCACAATAAGTATATACTGTATACACTTCACATAATTTATACTAACTGTAATCTCTACCATTTTATAAATAACACCAGAGGCCCAGTGCGTGGGGTCTGGCCAGCCTAGCCCCAGATAGCAGATCAGGGCCGGGCCTGTCGGAAGGAGGAAACAGCGGGAGGTTGGCCAGCTAGCCCACACCAATCAGGCCCGGGCTGGCCGGGGGGAGGTACTGCAGGCAATTGGCAAATGGGCCCCATCCCCAATTGGGGTGAGGGGGCCAACTGGGGGCCAGTCCAGCCATAGGGAGGGGCTGTGGGCAGTAGGCTAATGGGTTCGGCTACGAATGGGATAGGAGGGGCCGATTGGGGGCCAGCAGCATGGGGGAGTGGCCATGGATGGTTGGCCAGCTGGCCCTGGCCCTGATAGGATGGGGGTGGGGTCAGCCAGGGGAGGGAGGGGCTGCAGGAGGTTGGTCAGCTGGTTCCACCCCCTATTGGGGTAAGGGGGGCAATCAGGGTGGGGATGGCTGGGGGGAGGGGCTGTGGGCCAATTGGGATGGCAGGGGCCTATCGAAGGCGGGGCCGACTGGGAGGAAGGGCCACATGGGAGGTTGGCCAACTGGTTCCACCCCCAGATTAGGACGGTTCACTGGCTGCAGTGGGCACATAGTAGTCGGTTGTTCTGATCATTATGGCATTCTAGTCACTGGCTTTTTATATATATAGATGAATGCAGAAACAAATCTTTTAGGGAGTGGCCAAAACAACATAAAATGGAATGGCCCCCATGTGAGCAGTGTACCCACCTTTCACTTTCATTGTTGCCCAGAAATGTTCCAAATTGCGAGGCGTAAGCATGCTCAAAGAGCATGATGAGGAAATTCTCATTGAATTCAAAAGAACAAGGGAACTGACGAAGTATCTGCCACACACAATCCAAGAAGAGGAGAAATACAGGTGACTCCCACTTCTGCTTACTATTACAATACGCTGATTGTGCACAGCGCTGTTGGAATGGGTGGCCAGCCTACGAGAAAAGAGGGAAATGATAAGGGAAAAGGGAAAAGATAGTTGGATCCTAGAGAGATTCCACATTCTGTTGAGATTTCACACAGGTGCAATGAAACTCCTATTAAATGAAACATAATTTTGGTGACTGCTATTTATATTATGATTTCTTGGTTTAAAACAATTTCCAAATTCTTAACCATAAGAACCCAAACTGTTGTTGGAATGCCAAATAAAATAATGAATAAACTTATAAATTTCTGTCTGTGTAATTTGGAGCATAGTCAAGGAACAAAAGCTTTTCAGGTACTAAACAAAGGGCAGTTAACACCTTCTATCTATCCAAAGCATTAATACATAATAAATCCAAATTGTAACTAGAGGGGCCAGAAATTTTCTCCAGAGAATCTTCCATTCCCAAGATATATTTAAACATTTATTTTTAGTTACAATTGTTTACTAAGTTACACAATGTATATACATTCACAAATTAACCTCTGCCTTGGAGGATTTCTGCCTAGTTTATGAGGCATTCATTTCAGTTTTCATCCACAGCCTTATGCGATGGCAGTGTTGTGTACTAAGGATAAACAGATGAACTGGGCAAGGCCTCTGACCCAAAGAGGTCACTTTATTTTGATCTAGTTCAGGAAACAAGACACAAAGAAAATGGACTTAAATATCAAAATGTCATACATTATATCCGCACCCACAAACCAGGATCACAAATCAATTATTCACTGTTCCTCTGCACACAAAATAGCTTTTCTCACCTGCAGCCACTCTCTTTCTATCAAGGCCTCAAAACCGCGGATGGTCCTGCTTCTTGGGTCCAAGATGATCTGGGCCAGAGAGGTCACCTGAAGTGTGGAATCAGTTCCTTCTGTCCCATGAATCAATATGGATGCTCCTTCCCTGGTAGGAAAATTCAGAGTACAAATGGGATACTCCCACCATGGTCAATCAAGTCTGCTAATAATAAACATTTACTGAGTACAAAGTCTTATGTATTCCGCACTGTCCTATAGGGTTATAGTCTAATAAGGCTATTGAAGAGAGGAAAAAAGTAAAACTCCAGAATGAGTCCCAACTTTCACATGGCAAGAATCCCTTCAAGCTATAACAAATGTTTACAGAATTTTTTTAGCTAAAATTTTTCTACCTTTACAAAAACAAAAGCAGTCTTTAACACACATAGTAGGCACTTACCTTTTCTGCTTTAATAGTTGATTAAAGGCTTTTCTCATCGAACCTAGAAACATACTTAAAATTATTTTTCTTTATCTCTCTGACCTTGATTCTACCTTTTTACTATCAGCTAGCTGACTATAAGGACATCTTCAACAATTGTAATGGGAAACAAGTCTTGAACTGTACTTTGAGAAACAAGAAACAGGAAGAAATATTTTAAAAAATTTAAAAATAAAACTGTCAATCAAGAAAGGAAGTGGTGATGATACCACGACATTTAGGTATCTGGGACCTCGATATTCTAAAGAGAGTGGGATGAAGCATCAAAAACTAAATTAACTATCTCCCTCCTCTCCTTCTTCCATGTCATATACTAAAATGACAGTGAAGAAAATTTTGCACAAAAAAAGAAAAGAAATTCACCACTTTTTCATAAAAGTTTCATGTTTGGTTATTACTGTTAATTGTCTTCCCATGTACATATATACTTTGTATAGCTACAAGGAAAAGTAATTTATTATTTCCACTTTTGCTATAAACATTTTCCCATGTATCTATGCCATCTTTAGAAGTATTGCATTAATGGTTATTAAATATTCTATTACATGATCATCTACAATTTACTTAATTCTATGGTTGGATATTAAGGTTATAGCCAACTTTTGTTACACTGCAGCTGATGCACTTAGCTTTTTGCCTTTTGCTGAATTGAGTTCTTAATTTGAAAGTAAGACTCCCCGATGTTCATTTATGGCTAGACTAACAACCTCATTTGTAGTATGAAATCTAATGAGTAGCCTGAAAAAGGTATGAGCAAATATTTTAAGACTTCTGATATGTATTGAATATATATCTTATTACCTGTGGTATATTCTGAATTTAATTTATTTAACTTAAGGTCAATTTTTACATTTTTTAGTAATTAAATATAAGGGCATGCCAAAACCGGTTTGGCTCAGTGGACGAAGCGTCGGTCTGTGAACTAAAAGGTCCTGGGTTCGATTCCGGTCAGAGGCATGTGCATTGGTCGCGGGCACATCCCCGACAGGGAGTGTGCAGGAGGCAGCTGGTTGATGTTTCTCTCTCATTGACGTTTCTGGTTCTCTATTCCTCACCCTTCCTCTCTATGGAAAATCAATAAAATATATTTAAAAAATAAATAAATAAATATAAGGGCGGATTTTTATGGTGGTAAAAGTAACAGCTAATATATATCAGAAAAGGGAAATGAAACATTGCAAAATAACCAAAATCTTCAACTTTCCTAAGAGTGTGAAGGTTTCTAAACAGTTTAAGGCAGCAGCTCAAACTAAACAAAGGTGGAGATAACAAATACTGTTTTGCACCTAGACCTGCATCATCTCATTATTATAGCTGAAAACTTGGACAAATGGTGGTAAGTAACTATTACAATTCATGTTTCATAAGAAAACAGGAGCCTCTGTATTTATCATAAAAGGGGAAATCTTTTAAATTTATGCTAAAAAGAAACAAAAACCCTTAATATATGCACCTCATTATTCTGTATTTTTTATTTCCTATATTTTATTAGATAAATGAGCTTCGTCTAAAATAAAATAACAGCCCTGACTTGTTTGGCTCAGTGGATAGAGCGTTGGCCTGCAGACTGAAGGGTCCCAGGTTCGATTCCAGTCAAGGGCATGTGCCTTGGTTGCGGACACATCCCCACTAGGGGGTGTGCAGGAGGCAGCAGATCGATGTTTCTAACTGTCTATCCTTCCCCCTCTCTGTAAAAACATCAATTATATATATATATATATATATGTGTGTGTGTGTGTGAGAGTGTGTGTGTGTGTGTGTGTATCAGTGACAGCTTGAGAATCCTGACTTCAAGCCCATTCTTGGTTCTGTCACTAACTTACCACGTGATTTTAAGTAATCCATTCTATGATCAATTTCTCAACTAACCATAAAAAAATTACATATATCGTTTGGAAGCATCTTTGGAAGCATCAATAAAACAAATTAGATTCTCAAAGAAAAGTGCCATCCAACTATGTGGTGCCATACTTATACCTACCTAGTGTTTGAGTGGGAATCTCCTTCTTAAAAAGGGCATGCTAAGCTTCTGCCACAACTTATACCAGCCTTCTGCCTCTGTTCAAGTCTTCTGCCTCAAGTCTCAAGGATTAGCAACCTTCAACTGAGTGAATAAACTAAAATCACTTCATATACTTCACATCACTACCATCAGGTTTTCTCAACTTGAGATCCTGATATAACTGCACACATCGAGTAGTTTGTAATAAGATACCTGAGATTAGAAAGGATTATTTTACTCTGTAACAAAATCATATGCTTTCTTTCATTGTTATTTGAAAAGTAAGAAGGCAAATTTGGCCCTCTGAGAAGACATAGAAAACTTTTCTTTCTCACAACTTCAGAAAAGGAAAATTAGTAGATTAATAATTTAAGGACGATATAGAAAAAAGATAGGTCTTTGGTACTTAAAAAACTTCTATCAAAGACATATATGTACATGGTTCACAATTCATTCAACAAATATTAATTATCAACTTCATGACAAACTCTATGCACATACTTCATTGATAACTGAATGCCATTGACTATCTTTTATAGTAATTTATAAAATGAACATAAGATATAGAATAGTCCCAAACTTTGTTAAACTTCACTTTATTGCACTTTGCAAATACTGCATTTTTTACAAATTGAAGGTAAGACCTCTACCAGCATAAAGATTACAATTCACTGAAGGCTCAAATGATGGTTAATTTTTTTTTGAAAAAAGTATTTTTTAATAAGGTAGACACTTTTTTTTTAAAGAATACTATTACACATTTAAAAGACTACAGTAGAGATAAATGTAACTTTTAAATGCATAGAGAAACAAAAAATTTGTGTGACTTGCTTTATTGAGATAGTATATGCAGTGGTCTGGAACCAAACCCACAATATCTCCGAAGCACATGTTAATATATAAACATGTCTGGATAAAAGCAAAGTCTAGTTAGCAGTGCATGTTCCATTCTGGAGCAATAAAATGTACTTTACCTGTCAATACACTGAGCCACTAGACAGGCAGTAGTCAGAATCTCTTTGATGTGTGTCAGCCAGTTGGAAGACTCCAATTTACTGAGCCATCGGTCCATGTTATGAGTTTGGTCATTACAAGCTTCCACAAGTTTGACTAAACTCTCCTGAAGAATGTGATACCTTTCAAATATGAGGAAAAGAAAAACAAAACAAAACAAAACAAAAACAATGAAGAAACCAAACCAAAAACTTAGCCTCCAATTAATCCAAGAGCAAAAGTAGCTCAAAATACTATAAAAATATTTACTTTGCTATATAATAACCTAAGGATTAAATAAAAGTTAATATTTCAACATGATTGCAAAGATGCTTAAAGTGCCTGTGAAGGTAACCGATCCTCATCGGAGTAGATTAAACACAAGTCGAAGAGCTGAATTATCTGATTGGGGAGAGAGCCAGGTCAGATATGAAATGTGCAATCCTACTCAGGGTCTACCAGGAACTATCAGCAAGGATGCCCAAAGCCAGCTCCGACTCCTACCCACCTACCCAGAAGTACCTATAAACCACTAATTGCAAGCATAAACAAGTAAGGTGGAGGAAACAGGGTGTGAAAATAGGTGGTATGGGGGAAATTAAATGGCTAAAGTATTTTGACTAGGAAAGTACAGTTATCCATAGCCTATCTGGATAAGTTTGGTGACCACTGATCTATAAAAAGAGGAGCAGGCCTTGGGGGGATGAAATTTCAGAGCTGACTTGCAGAAACAGTGCTATTTGACTAAAACTCACCTGTGGGCATCCAAGGCAAGTTTTCTGTTCATCTTACAAAACACAACGACAGGCTAGCCAGTCAAGTTTGGACTCTAAGTTAATGTTTAGATTCATTTGAAAACTTGTAATTTTTGAACAGCTAAGGGTTCACCCATTCTAATTAGCTTCAAATAAGAGCCCATTACTGTCTCCAGAATCTTTTACCTCTCAATAGACTTATGAATCCGCCTCCACTGGGGATAATGAGCTTCTTGCTCAAAGCCGCCTCCTTTGGCTCTAGCTTGCTGAGCTACATTTAGGGATCGAGTATCAATGATGTAGCCACGCTTTCCTGCTCTGAGAGTAGCATTTATCAGCTTCTCATCTTCTTTGCACCGTCTCCCATTTGTGCCAGTCAGTGGCTGACCACTTCGCATAATTACCTAGAATCACAATAAAATTTAAAACTTAAGCCCTAGCTGGGTAGCTAAGTTGATTAGAGAATCATCCCACTACAAGGTCACATGTTCCATCCCCAGTCAGGGCACATACAAGAATCAACCAATGAATGCATAAATAAGCAGACAAGAAGTCAATGTAATTTTTCTCTCCTTTTCTTTCTCAAACACAAAAAACTTAATAGTAGCTGCATTTAAAGTTTTTGAAACCAGAAGTAAATTAGCTAGCTTAAGAGTATTTCAAAAACAACTGGAGATGGATCTGATCTTAAAATAAAGTTACATTTCTATTTATTGATAAAGTTAGTAACTGTAAAAAAAATAAGCCTTGCACTTTCAAATGATTTTTTCTCCCATTATTTCAAAATACTTTCACATAATAAATTTTAGTTCCTTTTTAAGATGAGGTATTGTAATTCATTTAGTCTAAGTAATTATCCAGTTGATCTAGCCTTGTAATGAGGATAATAATGGCCTAGGCACCAATAAACTTTTGCTTCAACTACCTAAACTTAGGGTTGGCAAGAATTATAAAGAATAAGGCACCAATTGCGAAAATAAATAAACAGAGTTTACTCATTATTCTTGTTTTTCAATATCTTGAAAGCTGCTTGGTATTATTTATCCTCCAGTGGTCCTCTTCAATCCTTTTCAGTATTCCAGGACTTAACCATTTGTATCCAAATATTATTAACTATATATTTTGAAGGTTTGCTTTTGAAACTTTTCTCAGGAAATCAATAACTATTACACAGATCTCTATCTGGTGAGTGGCTTAGAGTTATTTCAACTTCACCCCTTTGTATACATTGTTATCTTAATTACCCTGAAATTTAACATGATTAAGAAAGGTCATCACTGGATGACAATAGCTCTCAGATGGCACTTACTATGTAAATGGCACTCAATATATTTTACATCAATTATTAAAATACTTTTTAATGAACCCTAGTAAAAACAGATATACTATTAAGCAAGCAGAATAGACAGCCTGATGCAAAAATAACAAATTTTTAGAAATCTTTTTATCCTAAATATCCATGTTTGACTTAATACTAGGGGAAAAGAAAAATAGATGGTAATAATTTATCCACCAATTTACTATTGGTCTCAAAATGAAGCTGTTCATTGACTGAGAGAAAGTAGAGGACAGAAACAGGATTTAGAAAATATCTACGAAACAAATACACCACAAGCACTTGCCAATTCAATTCCTGATGCCCAGGTTTACTTATTGTGACAAATGACATGTACCACTGTTCTCCCTTTTGAAAATAAAAATGTCTGCTCAATTTACCAGTATCTTACCATTATTCTGATCAAATAAATTTATTTTTCTGCCTGAGAACATTAATTTAAATAGCACATGAACATTATTAGTTCCCTTTGTATTGAGTCCTGAGGATAAACCTAGCTGGGCTAAGTTTATTCTTAGGTATTTTAATTTTTTTGTGCAATAGTAAATGGGATTGTTGTTTTAATCTCTCTTCTGTAAGTTCACTATTGGTGTATAAAAATACCATAGATTTCTTGGCATTAACTTTGTATCCTGCTACACTGCCGAATTCATTTATTAAATCTAATAATTTTTCTATGCACAATATCATGCCATCTGTGAATAAGGACAGTTTTACTTCTTTTCCAATTTGGATGCCATTTATTTCTTCTTCTTGTCTGATTGCTGTGGCTAGAACTTCCAGTACTATGTTGATCAGGAGTGGTAAAGCGGGCATCCCTGTCTTGTCCCTGTTCCTAAGGGAAATGGTTTTAGTTTTTGCCCATTGAGTATGATGTTGGCTGTATGTTTGTCATATAAGGCTTTTATTATGTTGAGGTATGATCCGTCTACTCCCACTCTGTTGAGTGTTTTTATCAGAAAAGGGTGTTGGATTTTGTCAAATGTCTTTTCTGCATCAATTGATATGATTATGTGATTTTTCCCCTCTCAATTTGTTTATGTGAAGTATCACATTTATTGATTTTTGGATATTGTACCAGGAATAATTATCCCTGGAATAAATCCCACTTGGTCATGGTGTATAATCTTTCTAATGTAATGCTGCATCCAGTTTGCTAGAATTTTGTTGAGGATTTTAGCATTTATGTTCATCAGGGATGTTGGCCTGTAATTCTTTTTTGTTGTGATGTCTTTATCTGGTTTTAGGGTTATGGTAATGCCGGCTTCATAGAAAGAGCTTAGGAATCTGCCTTCCTCTTGAAGTTTTTGGAATAGTCAGAGAAGGGTTGGTTTTAGTTCTTTGAATGTTCAGTAAAACTTCCCTGTTAAGTCATCTGGTCTAGGGCTTTTGTTTGCTGGAAGCTTTTTGATTACTGTTTCAATTTCATCAGTAGTTATTGGTCTACTCAGATTTTTTTGATTCTTCCTGATTGAATTTTGGAAGCTTGTATTTTTCTAGGAATGGCCCATTTTGTAGAGATTGTCCAGTTTGTTGGAGTAGAGTTGTTCATAGTATTTTTTTTTTTTTTTTATAATCCTTGTATATCTGTAGGGTCAGTTGTTACTTCACCTCTTTCATTTTTGATTTTGTTTATTTAGGTCCTCTCTCTTTGTTTCTTGGTGAGCCTGGCTAGAGGTTCATTAATCTTGTTTATCTTTTCAAAGAACCAGCTCTTGGTTTCATTGATCTTTTGTATTTTTTTTTTTTTTTTTTTTTGGTCTCTATGTCATTTATTTATGCTCTGATATTTATTTATTTATTTACTTTTTTTTTTTTTTTTGCTTTCTTTATTGATTAAGGTATCACATATCTAAGGAAGTAAAAGACATGTACTCTGAAAACTACAGGACACTGGAAAAAAGAGATAAAGGAAGACACAAACAGATGGAAGAACATACTGTGTTCATGGATTAGTGGAATCAACATCATTAAAATTTCTACACTACCCAAAGCAATCTATAGATTCAATGCACTCTCCATTAAAATACCAACAGCATATTTCACAGACCTAAAATGAATTCTCCAAAAATTCATCTGGAATAAAAAAAGACCCCCAATAGCAGCAGTGATCCTGAGAAAGAACAAAGTAGGAGGGATCTCAATACCAGATATCAAGCTGTATTATAAAACCACTGTTCTCAAAAGTGCTTGGTACTGGCACAAGAACAGACATATAGACCAATGGAAAAGGACCAATGGAATAGACTAGAGAACCCAGAAATCAACCCATGCCATTATGCTCAATTAATATTTGACAAAGGAAGCAAGAACATACAATGGAGTCAAGACAGTCTCTTCAATAAATGGAGCTGGGAAATTTGGTCAGATACATGCAAAAAAATGTAACTAGACCACCAGCTTACACCATACACATAAAATAAACTCAAAATGGATAAAGGACTTAAACGTAAGACTGGAAAATTAGAGGAATACACTGGCAGCAAAATCTCAAATATATGCCAAAGCAGTATCTTCACCTATACAGTTCCTAGGGCAATGGATACTAAAGAGAAAATAAACAAATGGGACTATATCAAAATAAAAAGCTTCTGCACAGCAAAAGAAACCATCAACAAAACAAGAAAGCCCACTACATGGGAGAACATATTTGCCAACGTTATCTCGCTAAGGGTTTAACAGTCAACATTTAAAGGGAACTCATATAACTTAACAAAAGAAAGATAAACAACCCAATCAAAAAATGGGCAACAGACCTAAATAGATACTTTTTGAAAGAAGACAGAAGGAAGGCCAAGAGACATGAAAACATGCTCAAAGCCACTAATTATCCGAGAGATGCAAATCAAAATGTCAATGAGGTACCACTCACACCTGTCAGAATGGCTATCATCATGTTCTCTCATATCATTGATGTTTCTATCTATCTCTTCTTCTCCCCTCCTATCTGAAATCAATAAAAATATATTTAAAAAATAAAAAAAGGAGAAAGCCCTGGCTGGTATTACTCGGTTGGTTGAGTTTGTCCCGTGCACCAAAAAGTTCTATTCCTGGTCAAGACACAACAAACGACAAGTGCTGGCGAGGGTGCAGAATAAAAGGAACCCTCATGCACTGCTAGTGGGAATGCAGACTGGTGCAGCCATTGTGGAGAACAGTATGGAGTTTCCTCAAAAAACTAAAAATAGAACTTCCATTTGACCCAGTGATCACACTTCGAGGAATATATCCCAAGAAACTAGAAAGACCAATCAGAAAGGATATATGCACCCCTATGTTCATAGCAGCACAATTTACAATAGCCAAGATTTGGAAACAGCCTAAGTGCCCATCAGCATAAGTGGATAAAAACCTGTGGTACATCTACACAATGGAATACTATGCTATCTTAAAAAGGAAGGAACTTCTACCATTTGCAACATCATGGATGGAGCTGGAGAGCATCATTTCTCAGTCAGAGGAAGATAAATATCACATGATCTCACTCATTTGTGGAATATAATGAACAACATAAACTGGAGAATAAAAACAGATCCAGAGACAGAGAAACATCGATCAGACTGTCAAACCTAAGAGTGAAGGTAGGGGAGCATGGGTGTAAGGGGGAGAGATCAACCAAAGGACTTGTATGCAGACATATAAGCATAATCAATGGATGCAGACAAGAGGGGGTGAAGGTGAGGGCATGATTGGGGGGAATGGAGGGGCATTGGAGGGATAAGGACACATATGTAATACCTTAATCAATAAAAATAAAAATAAAAACTAACTGGGCTTTTCTAAGGTTGAGCAGCATCACAGAAATAATTCAAAGTCATATACTGATCACAGAAAACACTCTACTCCCGATTCCCTGAATTTTAAATGAAGGAAGTCCTAGCAGGAGTGACTAACCACTTCAATGGACAGGTACACAGAGAAGAAAACCATTTCTAAGAAAAAAATCCTCAAACCAAGTCTTTCAGTAGACAAAGCAGCAATACTGTACACTTACCATTTCATTTTTTTTATGATAATAGCTGAGTACCGGGAAGCGTCCTCCATGTCGAAATGTAGCCACCTTCCGAAGAGCCTCATCATCAATGGATTTCGGCACTATGACAATTGGTGGGTAAGAGGGGCAGACCGCAAATTCCTTATTAACATAGCTTAACCTCCAGTCACTGGTCTGAAAAATACATAATATTTCAGAGCTAGTATTCCAGTGTCACAAAATAATCTGAAAACATTTAAAGGACCCTGGAGATCAACTTTTATACAATGAAGAAGCCATCTCAGAAATTTAATAGAAAGATATCTATCAATACTTAGATACTTCCAGAGAAAACGAGCTCCATTCTTCAGTCAGCTTTCTGCAATGCTATGTATCCCCAGTTCCTAGAAAGTTCTTCCTCATATTTAGCAACATTAGATGCTCTACTTCCTCTATTGTTTTTTACCATGATTTCAGGATAAGTTCCCTATCTTATATGACATCCCAGCAAATGTGTGACAGACAGTTGTTTCTCCCTTTGTTTTTATTCTCCACGCTAAATATATTAAGTATATCCATGACTATCAGGGTCAACACATCATCTCATTCATCCTTTTCTGGGTAACATTAACAAGTTAATGGTACACTTAAAAGTATAGCAACAGAAAGACTTTAATACTTTGTATAAGGCTGAACCAGAATAGGCGAGACTAGAGTTACTACTTACTTCAAATCCCTTGTTCCTTTCTATTATTTAAAAAAGAAGAGCCCTAGCTGGTTTGGCTCAATGGATAGAGCATCAGCCTGTGGACTGAAGGATCCGAGTTTCAATTCCAGTCAAGAGCACATGCTTGGGCTGTGGGCTCGATCCCCAGTATGGGACATGCAGGAGGCAGCCAATCGATGATTCTCTCCTATTATTGATGTTTCTATCTCTCTCTTCTTCTTCCTTCCTATCTGAAATCAATAAAAATATATTTAAAAAATAAAAAGGAGAAAGTCCTGGCTGGTGTTGCTCAGTTGGTTGAGTGTTGTCCCATGCACCAACAAGTTCTATTCCTGCCGAAACTGGTTTGGCTCAGTGGATAGAGCATCGGTCTGTGGACTGAAAGGTCCCAGGTTCGATTCTGGTCAAGGGCATGTGCATTGGTCGTGGGCACATCCCCATCAGGGAGTGTGCAGGAGGCAGTTGGTCGATGTTTCTCTCTCATCGACGTTTCTAGCTCTCTATCCCTCTTCCTTCCTCTCTGTGGAAAATCAATAATATATATATTAATATACATATACATATATATATATATATATATATATATACACACACCCACACACACGTATATATATATATATGTAAAGTTCTATTCCTGGTCAGGATATATGCCCAAATTGTAGGCGCAATCCCCAGTAGGGGCATGCAGGAGGCAGCTGAATGATGTTTCTCTCTCATAGATGTTTCTCTTTCCCTCTCCATTCCTCTCTCTCTCTAGAACAAATCAGTAAAAACGTATTTTTAAAGAAATTAAAAAGGAGAAACACTGAACATAGGATGCTGAGTTCAGTGTTATGAGAAAAGGCATGAGTAAATCAAATGTACCTTATCACTCATCAAAACGAAATAAAGTAAGGTATTGGGTTATTTCTCAACTATTACCCATAGTTCTCTCAAAAGTTACTCACAGCTGAAGAGTAGAGCTCAAACTCTTGCTCAGGAAGGAAAGAATGCCAGCCATCTTCTATCACTTCAAACATGGGCCGGTAAAAAAAAGGGTACATCAGTGTGATGGAGTCCAGGGTAGATAATGCCTAGGGGGTAAAAAGGAAATAAAGAGAGGAAAAAGGAACATACACCACAGTTTGAAACACTTTCTGACTGCCAAATTGGTATTAAACAAATATAACCTACTAATGATGGGCATATTTGTCTAACAATATATTTATCACTAGATACAATTATAGCTTATTGAAGCTAATTTCTGCGCTTCTGGAATCTAACAAGATATCTGGAACATAACATTAGCATTTGCTGAATGAAAAGAATTTTAAAATGTGCATACCTGTTCTAGGAGAAAAATGAAATAACTCTTTGACATCATTTAATAAAGCGTAGTAAAACAGTTTAAATATTTTTGGGGGCATCAGAGAACAAACAGGTTTTGGTAGCCAGTAAAGTTTGGCTCAAAATTTAGTTATCAACTGTATAAACATTTTTAAATAATTTAAAATCAGCATCTGTGCCCAGCTGGCATGGCTCAGTGGTTGAGTGTGGATGTAAGAACTAGGAGGTCATCGTTCGATTCCCAGTCAGGTTTCAGGCTCCTTCACCAGTGGGGAATGTGGAGGAAGCAACCGATCAATGATTCTCTCTCATCATTGATGTTTCTATTTCTCTCCCTCTCCCTTCCTCTCTGAAACAAAAATATCTTTAAAAAAAATAAAATAAAATCAGCATTGGTTAGTAAATGTAAAATAAGGTGATAGAGCTTAGCAGACAAAGAGTCATACTGGAGTCAGAATGCTGGATTTAAATTCCAAACTCCAGTGCAATAGTAATTAAGTTATGTAACTGCTCCTGCCTCACTTTTTTCAGCTGTAAAATAACAGTACCTACCTCATAAGGCTGTTACAGGCATTCAGAGAGAGAATGTGTGGGCCTAGAGCAGTTCTTGGCACATAATAAACTCTAAAATAATTTTAGCTATTACATGGTCCACATATTGTATACTCCACATATGCTTCATCAGTGTTCACTCCTACCTAGAGTGATATGCCATTTGGTCAGGTATCAGCATATCCTTATCCTACACTGACCCATTTTTAAGCCAGGACAATAACTCTGTGGTACCACAATGAGCCTATAATCATCGGCAGCACTTGAATTCTGGGTGGCAACACCAGAAAACCTGACTAGATAGGAGCAATGGACTGACAGAATATCCTTCACTGAATGGCAGTTTCATCCTTTAAGAGGGTAATTATGGAAAGCATTTTCATGGCTAAACAAAAAAGCACCAAAATCAGTGAACATAATTCAAACTGCAGTAATTATGGAGACACACACACCTGGAGGTCAGAGGGCCCAACATCATGCTAATATCCCAAAACTCTCAGATTGAAGCTACCTCCTTCTAGGTCAGAGAAAAACCAGACACAAAGGATGGGTACACGACTTATTAAAAAAAAAAAATAGACCATTCAGTGGTATAACAAAACCATCTCCACCTAAAGTTATTCTTCTTTCTGTCCATAAATCATGAAGACTTCCTCAAAAGCTCATAAAACAGAAAATATAAAGAAGCATGGCTCACTAATCCATTATCTATTTCTACATGTCTTTGGCTGCCAGTCACACCAAACAAAGCAGAAAAGCCAGTATCCATATCTGATGTAGGCCAGGGCTATTTTAGTCAGTTCAAATTATTTTATTCATTCATTTATTTTTTTTAAAGATATTCTTTGCAACCTTTGGAAAAATTTTTACTGAAATACAATTGATAAATAAAACTGTAAAATATTTAAAGTGTACTATATGATACATACACATTGTGAAGGGATTCCTCCCCCCAATGAGCACACTATCATGTCACATCACCTTTTGTTGTTGTTTTTGAGAAAATTTAAGTTTGACTCTTTTAGCAAATTTCATTCAAACAATATAGTGTTTTGAAAAATAGTCACCATGTTATACATTAGATCCACAAGCTTTATTCATCTTATAGCTGAAACTACTCTCTATTCTCTATTTCTATGATTTTGGCTTTACTTTTTAAGACCCCTGTATATAAGTGATACAATGCAGTACTTGTCTTTCTCTGTCTGGCTTATTTTGCTCAGCATAATACCCTTCAGTTTCATCCATGTTGTTGAAAGTGGCAAGATTACTTTCTTTTTTTTAGGCTAAATAATTTCTCTTTCTCTAATTCTCATTCTCTCTCTCTCTTTCTCTCTCTCTCTCTCTCTCTCTCTCTCTCTCTCTCTCTCTCTCTCTCTCTCTCTCTCTCTCTCTCTCTCTCATCTATCCATCCATCAACACTTAGGTTGTTTCCAGACCTTGGCTATTATGAATAATGCTGCTATGAACATGGGTGTACAGGTATCTCTCCCAGATAATGATTTTGTTTTGTACATACCCAGAAGTGGAACTGCTGAATCACAAGATAGTTCTATTTTTAATTTTTTTGAGGAGCCTCCATATTGTTTACCATTTTGGCTGGTACAACCATTATTTTAAATGCAAGTAAGTCAGCATCACACTGGCAGACAATAAGCACTTATGATTATATTTTATGTCACTAGAGATAGGGCTTTTCCTTTAAACATATTAATGGTGAAATTATTAAAAACATTTCTGTTGTGGGGTCGAACCCTGGGTTCAAAATAAGACCACTGGAGGCTGAAGATTGATTAAAAAAAGCAGGCAAGGATTTATTGAAAAACTGGCCAGGACGGCCGCAAGAGTACCACATGCAGGTGGACTCTACACAACAGCACTGTTACAGGGGTAGGCAGTCATTTTTAAAGATTCAAACCACAGGAATTTTCCTTTGTTCCGAATTCTAAAGGCTGGGAACATAGGAATGTGGCCCTATCAGAAGCAGAACTCAGCGGTTAATCTCTAAAGGTTATCTACAGTTTCTACCCCTAAAGCTACTGAGTCAGTGGGAATCAATCTCCTGTAACTACCCTATTGTTTAAGCAAGTAAGCAATGTCAAAGTCAGAATAGTAGGGTTAAAATTCAAATAGCAGTTTTTACCCAAGTATGGTTGCTATCATATTTCAATTTCAACCCCCAAAGGCAGTTGAAAGTACACAGCAAACAGCTACATCAGACTTCCTGCTATAATTTAGAAAACTGAGCATTTGACAGTTATCCTTCAAAAAATATCCTTCTATTTGTGGCAACAGAATATATTTGAGAATATGGATTCCTGTTTACAAAGAATAGCTCAACTATGCTATATAACAATTTCACTTATTACTCCCAAATTATGTCAAAATGTATTTGGGGGAGGGAACTGAAAGACAGTAAAAGGCTAAAGGCCAAGTTCACTATGTGTATTTACTAAACTGTTAAAAAAAAAAAAAAAAAGAAAAGAAAAAAAGAAAAAAAAGAAGAGGATTCACATTTTATCAAATAATGAGAATGGCTCATAATTTATGGCTTTTCAGCCATAATGACTTCCATATAATCAGTCATTTTCTATAGAGCATTCGGTAACATCTACAAGCTAACTAAAAATCTGGTTAGCATTACTTAGCTAAATAAATGCAATCACAAAGAGGAATAATAAGCCTTGCTCCTGGCCAAAAAGAGTCCCGGGTTCGATTCTGGTCAAGGGCATATACCTATCTCTATCTCTCTCCCTTCCTCCCTGTACAAAATCAATAAAATATATTTTAAAAAAATAAGCCTTGCCCTATTTCTTCACTATGCTTCACCAAGGGCAACTTCACTAACACCCACCTATCAGCTATCTTACAAGTTAGAAAAGAGATAAAAAAAATAGTAGACAGGTCAATGAAAACCCAACTCTACAACCAAAAAACAAAAAAAACAAAGCAAAAAAAAACTACACCCAAAAACTACATGCTTAACTGCAGTGGACCAGCAGCATTCTCCTGCCCAACTAACAGGACTGTATTTCAATTTAACAGCCTAGAAGTCATTGGCATTTCTTACTTATGTTAGTGAATTCAGCCAAATCAACATTACTGTGTTACTTCCAAATGACAAATATGTAAGACAATTTGGCTCATCTTCTCATTTCGTCAAGTAAAATTTAGCAAACTCAGAAAAATGTTGCATACAAATTTTGCAGTACCACAACAGTTGTTCCTTTATTCTTCTCTTCATGTTTAAGAAAACCGAAATCCTAGTTACAGATTTTTAAGACTTTCTGCCCCCTTGTAATAGTAACACATTTAACTATTACACGTTAAGCGCCAAGCTTGTCTGGTCTTCACTTCCATTTAGCCCACGATAACCGATTTTTCTGATATGCTGGTGGCCGGGGACTGATGAGGTCCACATGGAAAGTATAGTGTCAGTCACCGGTGACTGACATAGCGCTTAACGTATTAAAGCAATAACATTTGTTTCGGACACAAAACTCAGAATAGTTACTTAAAGACAGAACAAAAATCAGCATGTCTCCATAGTTATCAAAAATACATTATAAACATACAGTTAATTGCTACAATTTAGTAGCAGTGATTTAAAATAAGGCAATTTAAAATTTAAGTGTATACCAATATAGTTGGTTAGAATGGGGAAGGATATAATATGAGCTCTTCAATTTAAATATTAAATTATCCAAGTAAAATTTCTATTATTTATAATCTGAACAGATATTCAATATTATTTAAAAATAGAAAACAAACACATTCTATCTTAAGTAAATCTATTATATGAAAATTCAGATTTACTAAAAACAAATACGAGATGATAATCACTAGTGACAATTATTTCCTTTATAAAGGAAATAACTTTTTTTAAAGTCTCATATATATACATATACATACAATGGAGTATTTTCAGCCTTAAAAGGTAAGAAAATTGTCACATGCTAAATATGGATGAATCTGGAAGAATAAGTAATCCTAAAATCCTATTACATTCCTATAACAATGAATCAGGGTGACGCTTTTCCTATCAGTCTTCAATATTTGAGTTACAAAACAAGACCAAATATTTAATGAAGAAACATAAAAGCTACAATGAGTCAGAATATAAGGCTTTTTTTTTTTTTTAAATAACTATTTAATTTCAACACAGTTTGCTTCCAAAATACTTACCTCAATGGAACTGGCTATATTCAAACATTCCTCCATTCCAGGGATATCCAATTGAATTATTCGAAAATCTTTACACTTTATGATGATGGTACCCAGTGGCCCCACAAATCTGTAAAACATTAAAAATTATGGTCAGGAACATACAGATTTCTAACTTTAAGCATATGATTATTTCTGTAAAAAGAGAATGTAGTTATAATCATTATCTATATTCAACTATTCAACTTCCTCCTCCCTAATTAATCTAAGGAAAAGTCAAGCCTGCATCATAAAATTGTGAGCCACAAGTTATTTAAAACCTATGTTGAAAAAATTTTCAAACAAAAAGTAATTTATACTAGGCCAACTCATTTAAAAATTATTATTTGGGGCCCGATCAGTGTGGTTCAATAATTGAGCATCAATCCAGGAATCAGGAGTTCAAAGTTCAATTCCCGGTCAGGATATACCTGGGTTCCAGGCTTGATCCCTAGTAGGGGGCATGCAGAAGGCAGCCAATCAGTGATTCTCTCTCATCATTGATATTTCTATCTCTCTCTCTCTCCTTTCCTCTCTCTGAAGTCAATTAAAATACATTTTTTAAAAGCTAGTATTACTGTAACAGTGGTTTGTAACTGAACTTTTTGTTTTCTACATGATTTAAGAGACTAATGTATTACATGAATTCTTAGTTTATGTTTTGGGGCACACAACACATAAAGATGTAATTCTGTAACATTAGCAATGAAAAAAAGGTGAGGACAGAGCTGTAAAGGGGTAGAGTTTTGCATGTTATACAAGTTAAACTGGTATAATTTCATATTAGAATGTTACAACATTAGGATGTTAAATGTAATCCCCAGTGTAGTTGCAAAGACAACAGCTACAGAATAAAACTCAAAGGTAAATGAGAAAGGAATTTAAGCATTTCACCACAAAAAAAATCAACTATATATAAGCCAGTAATTAGGCAATGAGGGACAAAAAAGCTATAAAGCATATAAAAACAAATAATATATTAACAAAAGTATCTCCTTATCAATAAGTTCTAAGTTAATGTCATCAATAGGTTCTGTGACTTTAAGTGAAACAATGTGTAACAAAAACAATTTTACCATAAGCTAATTGATATAAACAAGAGTTAAGTTCCTATGGCACCTCATCAATGTTATAACAAAATGACACTGAACACAATTATGTTATTCAAGGAATTGTTATAAGTACTTTAAATGTAAATGGGTTAAACTCTATATTAAAATACAGAATTGGTAGAATGGCTAAACACACATGACCCAGCTATATGCTGACTTACAAGAGATCACTCAGTTGAGATACAAAGACAAACAGGTTGAAAGTGAAAGGATAAAAAAAGATATTACATGTAAATATAATAGTAACCAAAGACAGCAGGCTATACTAATATCAGACAAAATAAACTTTAAATGAAAAATGGTTCAGCCGTGGATGAGCATGGCTGCGTGGATGAGCATCCACCTATGAACCAGGAGGTCACGGTTCGATTCCCGGTCAGGGCATATGCCAGGGTTTAGCTCAGTCCCCAGTAGGGGGTGTGCATGAGGCAACAGATCAATGATTCTCCCTCATCATTGATGTTTCTCTCTCTCCCTCTCCCTTCCTCTCTGAAATCAATAAAAATATATTTTTTAAAAGACTGGTTCAAAGAGACAACAAAGGACATAATCTATATAGATATGAGAGGGGTTGTCTTTCTCTTATGTAATAGAACTGAGATTCACAGTATAGGTAGCTTGTTCAAGGGCACCTATCTAACAAGAGACAAACTGGAAGAGTGATCCTTAATACTACTCTTCCTCTCACACGCCATTTACAATTATTAGCATGGCATGGCAGCTCAGCCTTGGAAATACACCCCAAATCTTTCTGCTTCTCCACTATTTCCACTCTGAGTCACCACCAACTTTTAAAAATACATATTTTTACATAATTTTTTCCCCTTGATTTCAGAGAGGAAGAGAGAGGGAGAGAGAAACATCAATGATCAGAATCATTGATTGGCTGACTTCTGCACAGCCCACACTGGGGATTGAGCCCGAAACCCTGAGAGGGAATTGAACCGTGACCTCCTGATTCATAGGTTGATGCTCAACCACTGAGCCACACTAGCAAGGCAGTCACCATCACCTTTTACCTGAACTACTCAACAGTCTCCTACTGGGCCTGCTGCTTCCACTCCTGCTTCTCTAGAATCCATTTTCCATCAGAGGCCAGAATCATCTTCTAAAAAGTCTATCAACTGCTACTTCCTTGCTTTTAACTCTTCAATGGCTTCCCATGAAAATCATCACAATGGTATGGAAGGCCCTGCTTATCCCTCTAACCATAGTTTCTGCTGTCCCAGTAGCCTCTACATCTTGCTCACTGCCCTCCAGCCACACTGGCCTCTTTATTTTTCTTAGTTCAAGCCAGAATGTTCCTGTCTCAGGTCTTTGTATCTATTGTTCCCTAGCTGAAATGCTCTTTCCTCTGATATTTACATTGCTAGCTTCCTCCATTCATTCAAATGTCATTTGTCTTCCTGGCATTCTTGATCCTCCATCTTCTTTCCTGGCACTTACTGCCTGACATTGTTATATATTTACTAGAGGCCCAGTGCACAAACTCATTCACACTGGGGTCCCTTGGCCTAGATGGCGATTAGGGTTCATGGGGGCTGGCCAGCCAGGGGGAGGGACTGCAGAAGGTTGGCTGGCCAGCCCTGGGAGGTTGGCTATGGGAGAGCACTGACCACCAAGAGGCAGCTCCTGCATTGAGTGCCTACGTCATAGCGACTGGTCAACTGGTCATTTGGTCAACTGGTTGTAATGGTTGCTTAGGCTTTTATATATTTATTTGTTGATTTATCTGAATGTCCATCTCTTCCAAGCACATAAGCTCCTCACCTGTCTTAGTCATTCCTGCATCTATAGGTCCTCACGGTGCTCAATACATAGAAGACACATCGAAGTGAATATTTCTTGAAAGCAACAACCAATCTCTGACCTGACCACCTAACTCATGCTCTTTCTATTACATCACGCTGCTCTCCAGGGAAAAAGACAAATGTGTGTACAGCTTGTCATTTATCCTCTACAGATTAAAAGGCCCATGTCTTAAATACTACCTTAAGCTCTACCAGAGCCAGCATGTAGTAAATGCTAGGTAAATATGATGAAATGAAGGAGTGAAAAGCAGCCATAAAAAGAGGTAAGTCAGAAAGAAAAATGTGAGTCCTGACTTTAAGGGACTAATATATGTATCTATCCAAGTACAAATTTTAACCTAAATTTATGAAAGAGCTATCATTAAAAAGCTATAGGATTTCAAAGTTAGTTGTGGGATTAACAGAACAATCTATGAAAGAGATGGCAGTTAAAATGGTTAAAATGAATACTGAGAGATGGGTAACAATTGGATGATAGCCTATAAACTCCTGAAAAAACTATATTTTATTCATGTTAATGTCCTTAATACCTCACAAATATCTGTAATATGATATTCAATAAATGTTTAAGAAACTTGGGAAGAGCACTGCACTTCCTCTATTTTCTTCAGTGTCAGTATAATATAGACGTGAGCCCCGTCAGGTATGGCTCAGTTGGTTGGAGTGTTATCTCATACACCGAAAGGTTGTGGGCTTGATTCCTGGTGAGGTGGATGAGCAAAAACAGTGAAGACTAGTTAGTAAAAAAAGTTCATGAAAGGGGATGGCAAGAACTAAAGGTGAGATAAGTAGGTGACAACAACATGGAGTGCATGACAATCTTTATTATGTAGGTAAGGAGAGAACACTGTAAACGCTTAGCAGGTGGCAATGATATGGGGAGTCTAAGAGGAGTCCTCTGTTTAAAAAAATAAATTTATTACCACTTCACCCATACTGTTTAAAATTCTACCTGTTTAAAATTATTTTCTTTTAAGGCAAAACCTTGTTAGGAATCTTCTTAATATCCAAATTCTCTTGAGAAGTAATAGAAAAAGCCATTGTTATTTATTTATGTGTTGGTATTAAGTTGGATAATTTATCTCCTCCTGACTAGAGTAAGGACACAGCCATTGGGGAAGTGGGAATTTTGACTGCAGATGGAAGTATAACCTTTTTGACTCCGAGACACTACTTTGGAAAGACAAAAGTGCAAAACAGAGGTTAATTAATACCTTTGCTTAAATGCCAACTCTGGTCTTTTCAAAAGCAGAACTGAGTAAAGAGAAATAAAAGACATAATCTCCCATTGTGGGAAGTATTAAATGGATGACACAAAAGGTAAGAAATAAGAAGAAATGTATATAATCAACTGAACATTTTGGGGAGTGGGGTAAGGTTTTGTGGAATTTAGACACTACAAATTGGGTTGAGTTTGCCTCCAAAGTGGCAAATAATAACTTCCCCTAAATCACATTGAATCACAACTTCATGAACGTGATGCACAATTATTATTCAAAGAATATGATGGTGTAAGGAGAAGAAACTTAAAAAGGAAGTCACAGAAATAGTGTTACCTACTAAAAATAATATCAGGAAAACAAGCATGTGATAACCCTGGAGATTCCATCCAGATTTGAGAGAAACCAGAGATCTCATGTGGATGGCTTTCTGCTTTCTAAAACTCAAATCCTCCATCTAGGCCGGACAGGGCTTATTTTGCTGGCTGGTTTGCACGCAAGGAAAACACTGGGGCGCGTTTCCTCAGGGGTCCACCTGCGGACCCCAGGTTCCCAGCGGAATAGGGGGTGGGGATGAGCACTCACCGCTTGTCGATGGCATCGATGTTTGAATGGAGGAGCCACAACTCCTCCGTGTTGTCCTGCCGGGAGGACAGGATCAGGTGGTGGCCGGTTAGGCACAAGGTCCCCTCAACGGCTGGATAGAATGGCCGATGGAGCACCACATTGTCCACCCGTGGGGTTTTAATCAGCTCCGCAAACTCCATGGTCCCCAGCGGCCGGAGCCAGGGGACTGCCACGTCCCGGAGGCGGAAGGCGGTTACACCGCAGGGCTGGAGAGAGGGACGCGGTGCGGGGCTGGCCGGAGGGGCGGGGTCCGGGGCGGGAAGGCCAGGCCCCGCCCCAGGCCAAGGTGGGCTCGGCGAGGCCTGCGGCCACGGTCACCGGCGGCCGCGGTGTGTCTGCCGCCCCTCCCGGTCCTCCGCGGACCAAGGGCGAGGCCGGAGAGAACGTCCCCGCGACAGGCCCAGCGGCCGCCGCCGCCCAAGCTGGGTGCTGGCCTGGGTGAGCCGGCCGAGGAGAAGGCGGAAGCTGTTGCGGATCAGTTTCCAAGTCTCGGCCGCTAGGGACTCCTGGCGGAAGTAGCTGCTCCCAGCCGGACCTAGAGCAACTCAGGGCGGAAGCGACGGAGCTCGAAACTCGGAAGACAGGAAGTGAGCTCCGGAAGTCGGTCACCGCCTGGGTCCGTAGAGAATGTCTCCGGAAACCCAGCCCGAGTGTAAGATTTGTGTTCCTACTAGGAGAAGGCTCTTCTTTACCTTCATGGCCACCGCTGTACCCCTCACACACCCTTCAAATATTCCGTGTCTGAAAAGACCGGGGAAGGTGGGACAAAGAGAAGAAGTCCCTGACCTCCCTCCCGCAACTTGAGTAGTAAGCCCATCCAAGGGCTCTTCAGAGCGCGGGGCTGTCATTCATTGTGGCCATTTCCATCCACTCGCCGTGAAGAGATTCCAAGTGTGGGATGGAATCGGTGATTGTGACCCCAGAGAAGAAGCCAGGTATAAGGTCCGGACGCTGCAGTCTCCTGGAGAGCGCCGCGCTAAGGCGCTGTGGTCTTGAACAAGAAAAGAATCCAAAGACCCATGAGAGCCCTAGGTACAAATACATACAATGCACAGAAGAGGAGGTAATCCTATCTTGTGAGGACGTTCAAGTGACTTGCTAAAACACAATTAATTTGTAGCATGAACTGGACTTCAATTTAGATCTATGAAATACAAGGCATTGGGGCTTTGGTCATCACGGTCCAGCCTCCCCATTAAATAACAATACAACCAAACTACGCCCAGGCACCTAAATTATACCAGAAAGTTACTTTAATTTTTCTTTCCTGGATGCTTCCCTACCCTTTTAAACCAGCGTTTTCTTTCCTTCTAAAACAGGGAATTAGAGGTGAACATGCAAGGATTCGAGTACTGGTCTACTGTCATTTTATTAACTTTTGAAATCCTTACCATGTAGTACAGCAAATTGGCTAAAGTCTCACAGCGAAGACAAAGTGCCTCAGATCTCATCCGATTATTCAACACGTGTTTCTGCTTCTGTCCCTGCCCTTCCAAAAAAGTGCAGTTCTTAGAACCTCTTATATGATCGTTACAGCTGAGAATCCACTTTTATCTGCAAAAGAATAAACTGTAACCAATAAAGAAGGGGGAATAAGGGGAAATGACTTATAACGTTATTTTTTATTAGAATTTTTGTTATCCTTCCATTATGTGGCTTATTGTAACAATTACCAATTATTCCAGGATGAAGAGTGAGGGAAAATCTTGAGCCGGTATCATTTGAAAGGAGGACCTTGAAGGATGAGTAAGATTTATACCCTAAATGAAGTATATAACCAGTTTAATGATGTCTACTAGAGGTAAGGAAAAATTAATTCACTACCTTTTTCTTTTAGTTTCTTGGTGGGTGGGTGGGGGGCTATGAAAAGATCATTGTGTCATTAAATTTTAAAATGTTTAATATTCCATAAGGGTTTGAACTCTTTTTGACCATGATAGAAAACTGTCAATATCATGCCGAATTGTTATTTTAAAAATCAGAAACTATTAGACAATTACATCTATTTTGGGTTGAAGCTTAAAGCACAGCAAGCCCTTGAAGTCTGAAGAAAACATTGAGTAGTAAGTAGAGGTGGTGGAGCACACAATGTGTTAACTTATTGTATGAACAGTAGATGGCAGTAGAGTTTGACAATAATGAAATAGGTTTCCATTCTATTAAAAATTACTCAACATAACTATAGGCAAACAAGTTATTATACAAATTGCCTATGTAGTCCTGTCACAATTTTTTGAAGGTGGTTATTATTCTTCTTTTACTTATGAGAAAACTGACACACAGTGATCTTAATAACTTCCACAAGGTCAGACAGAAATAAGTGGTAATAATCAGGATTCAGACTCAAGCAGTTGGGTACAGATTCTATGCTTCTCACCACCCTGCTACATCACCACCCATGAGACCTGATCCCACCTTGGTTATTCTCTCTGATTTTACCTCTTAATAAACTGTATTGAAATAGACTTTATATATGTCCATAACATTTCACTAGATAGTAATCTCCTTGGGAGCAAGGACCATTTTTAAAAATATATATTTTATTGATATTTTACAGAGAGGAAGGCAGAGGGATAGAGAGCCAGAAACATCGATGAGAAAGAGACATCGACCAGTCGCCTCCTGCACATCCCCTACTGGGGATGTGCCCGTAACCAATGTACATGCCCCTGACCGGAATTGAACCCGCAGACCGATGCTCTACCGCTGAGCCAAACCGGTTTCAGCAAGGACCATTTTTTGATTGCATTATCCCCAGAATCTTAGCTTAGTACCTATACATAGTAGCCACTCAATGTATTTTTTTTTTTTACTAGAAACCCTGTATTTTACTTAATATACTCTCCAAGATCTCCTCTCCCACACCCCAATCTGAGCAACTTTTCATATTTTTGCCAATGTTTACAGCAGCACTTTGGTGAGAGTAGAGGATGATAATGATATCTGTTATGTTTGGTCACTGTTTTACAATTCACAAAGTGTTTTTCAAATATGCTATCACATGTGGGCCTCTCAGTGGCCTGGTGAAGTTGGTATGAGAGGTATTGTTTCCAGCTCAAAGAAGAAGGAAGAACTGAGGCTCATTGACAAAACCAAGTGAGGCACAAAGGCAATGCTTTTGCATCCAAAACCTGGGCCCCTCCCATCACACTAATTTAAATTAGACTTATTTTTCACAGGTTTTGTCTGTTAAGATTCTGAACTGTGAATGTTGGGGGAAGACAGCCATTCATTTTTTAAAAAATATATTTTTTATGGGTTTCAGAGAGGAAGGAGAGGAAAGAGAAAGAGAAACATCTATGATGGGAGACAATCATGGATTGGCTGCCTCCTGCATGCTCCACACTGGAGATCAATCCCACAACCCAGGCATGTACCCTGCCCAGGAATCGAATCGTGGCCTCTTGGTTCATAGGTTGATGCTCAACCACCGAGCCATGCCAGCTGGGCAGAAGACAGCCATTATTTAGCAAAGGAGGGCTGAAGTTTCACCAGGAGACAGCAACTAAGGGGAAGCTTTGGGGACAATGATATGATCAAAGAGTCTGTATTCAGATACTTCTTTGTAATAGCCACATTCCCTGTGTCTGCTTTCTGTGTGTCAGTCACTGAGCCACTTCATTTTTTGAGACCAATCAGAAGAAGAGGAACCTAGCACTCAGAAGAAAGTGGCAAACTGGAAGGAAGAAGGACTATTGCTGTTGTGCATAAAATAAGTCAGCCCAAGCATAATTGCTTAAAATAACATCCAGCAGTTGGTAGCTAGAGCTGGAATAGTGGGAGGAGGAAAGACTGAAGCAGCTAGGGATTGCTCAGGCACTTCTTTCTTCAGTTCCCCATGGTCTCCTTGGGACTGGGCTGCATATATGGTAACTGAGGGTGTCAAGAATGCGTATTCCTGCTCTGGCTGGTGTGGCTCAGATAGTTGAGCATCATTCTGTGCACTGAAGGGTTGTCGATTCGATTCCCAATCAGGGCACATGCCCAGATTGTGGGTTTGGTCCTAATTGGGGTATGTGTGGAGGCAACTGATTGATGTTTCTCTCCCACATCAATGTTTCTCTCTCTTACTCTCCCTCTCTAAGAAAAATCAATGTCTCTCTCTCTTACTCTCCTTCTCTAAGAAAACATATGTATACATATATGTGTATGTACACATACACATATATGTACCTGTATGTGTATGTATGTATACTGAGTGGCCAGATTATTATGATCTCTGAACACATAATAATCTGGCCACTCAAATATATATTAGAGGCCTAGTGCATGAATTTGCGTATGGGTGGGGTCCGGCCAGCCTTGCCAGGGGGAGGGGATCTGCCTGCTGGTTGAACACCTGGTAGAGGGACAATTTGCATATTATCCTTTTATATTATATAGGATATGCACTGAGTGGCCAGATTATTATGCATTTAGAGATCATAATAATCTGGCCACTCAGTGTATATTTTAAAAAGAGTGAGTATTCCCAAGAGTATAGCAGAAGCTGCATCAACTTTTATGACCTATGCTCAGGTGACACATAATGTCACTTCCAATGCAGTTTATTGATCTTAAACAGTTAAATAACCCACTCAATTTCAAGGAGAGAGGACATAGACCCCATCTCCCAATAGGACCAGTGTTAAAGAATGAATGCTTCAGGGATGAAGCTGGCAGTGGGAAACACATATGAATGAACTCGACTTCCCCTATACACAATGGCAGCTGGAAAGAGCAATAAAGAAAATATCCCCAAAGTCAGCAAAATCTTTTTGTCAAAGCGCTTTTCTGCTCATAGCCATGATAAAGTGAACTAAGAATATGAAACTACATTTAATTATATATAATTAAAATAAAGAGGCACATCTAAAAAAAAAGCATAATTAAAAAGTAGAAAAATTTACTAGGTGGGAATGTCAACAATGCTAATCCAGTGATTACTGTTGGAGTTTATTTTATTGTCACTGAACCTAAATCTGATTCCGTATCCAATACAGTCAGGAAGCAACCTCAGTCTGCTCTTTACCCTTTTAGTCATACCTTCCTAGCTTTTCATTTCTTCTTTCCCCCAATATTAAGGGAAAGCTCTCTATATAATTTTCAGTGTGACATATAGTTTTGTTTTTAATTCTTGAGTCTGTTTTAATGTATCTAA